TATGACATGATTAAATATGCACAGGTGAGTGTGTGTGTCCAGGTATTCCCTATATTATTGGGACAAAATGTCCCCACAAGGATATTAATACCAGTAAATTTTGATCTTGTGTGGACATTTTTTGGTCCCCATGAGGACCAAAGTTTTTATTTAAATCTAAAATAGCAGAAAGTGTTGTGTGAGTGGTAGAGTTAGGGTAAGGGGATAGAAAATACAGTTTGAACAATAAAAACCATTATGCCGATGGAATGAATCCTTAAAACATGGAAAGCGTGTGTGTATGTGTGCGTGTGTGTGTTTGTGAGAGAGTGTGTGTGTGAGCGTGTGTGTATGTGTGTGTGTGAGTGAGTGAGTGTGTGTGTGTGAGAGAGTGTGTGTGTGAGCGTGTGTGTATGTGTGAGTGAGTGAGTGTGTGTGTGTGTGTGTGTGTGTGAGAGAGTGTGTGAGCGTGTGTGTATGTGTTTGTGAGAGAGTGTGTGTGCGTGTGTGTGTGTGTGAGTGAGTGAGTGAGTGAGTGAGTGAGTGTGTGTGTGTGTGTGTGTGAGAGAGAGAGTGTGTGTGTGTGTGTGAGTGAGAGAGTGTGTGTGTGCGTGTGTGTGTGTGTGTATGTGTGTGTGTGAGTGAGTGAGTGTGCGTGTGTGTGTGTGTGAGAGAGAGTGTGTATGTTTTACTCGGCGGCGGCGCGGCTCCAGATTTATCTTTAGCAGGAGCCGCTCAAATTCCACACGTCTCTGTGTGAGCGCCGCATGTGTGAAGGGTCGCGCTCAAACACAGCATACACAGGCCCTTCATGAACGTTTACAACACTCGCAAACACACCGAGCATCAGCGCCTGTGGGATAAAACACGTGTCCATCCGCTAAAGACCAGCTACAAATTCCACAGACTAAAAACTTTCAGCTGAAAAACAATTTTCTGTTTCAGGACTTAAACAGTGACGTTTAATTAATGCTTCTCCAGCAGTGCATTTTTACTGTTTCAGTGTCTATGTCATGAAAAAATATTATAAAAGAAAATAAAACCGGTAAACGTGGACACTAGCGCTGGATTAACCTTCTTGATTTCTTGTTTTTAATCGAACTGCATTTTAATGCACCAAGATATAAACAAATATATTTGAAATCTATGGTGTATGAGTTTAAGTGCATTGCATTGTTACTTTCAATATGAAATAAATGAATGTTCACTACATTTATATTCATTACACGTTTCTTATTTCTTAAATACTTCCATATTTAATATATGAATTTTTTTTAGAAACATTTATATCATAAAAAAGTTTATTTAAAAACATATACAATGTTTATTTGATTGTTGATTAAAAAGTTGCATTATTATAATTTAATTAATACTACTTAAATTGTTAGGATTATTTATAATTAAATAATTAATATTAAGGTCATATTAAATCATTACTACTATGAACTAATCTATTATTGTTATAAATTACATTTAAAAAATTGAGTAAAAACATTTACATCATTAAAAAGTTTATATAAAAACAGCCTTATATGCAAATTAAATGTTTATGTACAACTCGGCTTTTATTTGAGTGTTGATTATTAAATCAAAATATTATAATTATTTAATATGAACTCATTAGATCATTTAATAATTATTCGGTATATATTAAAATATTTATTTATTTAGTTGATTATACATTATTATTTGATTGCTCAATCCATTATTAAACACACAATTTTTGGATTTGGATTTCAGCTAATTTCGGTTTTCAGGAAAAAATTAATTTCAATGCATCACTAGTTGAATCGAAGTGCCACAGCATTAGGCTTCCTGAAGCTGGAGCAGTCACAGCTTCGATTCTCAGGGACTGAACTGATCAAATGCACAGCTTTAATTCAATGCAAGTCACTTGGGATTAAAGCATCTGTCAAATGCATCAGTGTGAATGCATGCTGCACCACAGTGATCTTTAATAAAGCTGTGCATGCTCATAAACGCAGTGAGAGACCAGCTAATGCAAGGATGAAGCCATGTGTGTTTCTGAATGACAGAACAATCGCTGCGGCTCCTGATGACTCGAGTCCGTCTCGATCTCCAATCGTTCACCGAGCACTATAATGCGTCCTGACACAGTAAGTAATTATTGTTTGATTCCAGCGTTTGATGATCTGCTCTGACTGAGTCGAGCATCATTCGCTCGTAAGATCCGCTCCCGCCGCGCTCTGAAAGCCTAATTGTAGATTCGTGTGTTTGAGGACGAGCCACTATGGCTTTAGCATATTAAGGCAGGAGAGAAGGGTCAGACGCTCTCTGGAGGATCAGAAGGAGGTTCGGGACAATCTGATTAGTCTTTAACACGCTTCAACAAAACACCGGCTGCAGATCAGGAGCCTTTCTGCCAGCATTAGCACCACTTAGACCCACAGAAGGGTTCGGGTTTGGAATCAATTCATTATTACTAGCAAACTAATAATAATAATTACTATTAATAATGCATTACTGTAATTAATAATAATTCCTTATTATTTTTATTAGT